TCCAGTGGGAGCAGTAACAGTGATACAGAAAGGGTAGTAGATACCTGGAATAGCTTTCCAGTGGGAGCAGTAACAGTGATATAGAAAGGGTAGTAGATACCTGGCATAGCCTTCCAGTGGGAGCAGTAACAGTGATATAGAAAGGGTAGTACATACCTGGAATAGCTTTCCAGTGGGAGCAGTAACAGTGATATAGAAAGGGTAGTAGATACCTGGAATAGCCATTCATGTTCGGCAGTTAAGAGTTATATATGCCCAGACTAGCTTTCTAGTGGAAACAGTAAAGGCTAACAGTGACACAGAAATGTTATTAAATAACAGAAATAGCGTACCAGTGGAAGAAGTAAATGGTTACAGTGATATAAAAAGGTAGTAGTTACCTGGAATAGCATTCCAGTGGGAGCAGTAACAGTGATATAGAAAGGGTAGTAGATACCTGGAATAGCCTACCATTGAAAACAGTAACGGATAACTGTGGTATAGAAAGGGTAGAAGATACATGGAATGACCTCCCAGTGGAATCAATAGGGCCTCGTGGTGATACAGTTAGCAGTTTAAGCAGTAAATGCTTATAGTGATGTAGAAAGGGTTGTAGATACCTCAAATGGCCTCCCAGAGATGGAATAAAGGCTAATGTGATATAGAAAGGTAGTAGATACCAGGAATGGCCTTCCATTGGAAGCAGTAAAGGCTAACATTGTCATAGAAAATGTAATAGTAAACTGAAATGTATTTCATAGGAATGAATACATGTATTTGAAAATTCTCCACAAAGTGCATACATCTTACATTGGGAGATACGAGATTGGGACAGGGAGGCAGTATGACAGTGGGGAGATTGTAGAAGGGAACATGTCAGCCATATGATGTACGTCACTGTATAAGAAGTGGGAGACCCTCCAAAAAAGGGGGCATGTTAACAAATTGACCGTCACTGGGCCAGTCCTCTAAGGGTGACTCACAAGAACGTCTCAGAGTTCATTTAGTTTAGCATGGTCACATTTAATTTTGCACTTACACTAAAAAAATTTATAATCAGGAATTCTGTGATTTTATATATTTCGTTGTTTTTTTTTACCCTAACATTTATTAAAATGCAATCAGTGAAAAGCTAAAATCTGATGGTGAAATTTACACAGAACACAAAGTAAATGACTGCTTTTTGTGTTTCTCACTAAAAAAGGAAAGTTGTGCTCACAAAACGTAGCAAGTGACAGGGGTTAAATTAGGAATTGAAAAGGGCCAACAGCAATTACCTTTTCCCAACAAGTCATTCACTTATGGAGTGTGTGTCGACAGGCAAGCAAAGAGAGGCCAGCGGTGGCAGGAAAATAAAATAACCAGTATGGGATTTTACAGAGAGGCCGTCAACTTAAGAATGATCCCTTCATTCAGTCACTCTCACTTATTCAGGGTCGTTTTTTCTTTCTTTTCAAGATTATCATCCCTCCGTAAATCATGTGAGGCAAGTGTGATTGCCTGGCTTTAAGACTCTCTGTGTGTTAAAATAAAGCGTATTTTGTGCGTGAACAGACAAAGCGTTGCTAAAATAGAAATATTTGCTCATATCCACACTGCATTCTTTAAAACGGGCTTCTGGATTTCAGGGTCGAAATTTTACATTTAAAAAAAAAAAAAAATTAAACACTAATGAGTTCTCCCGTCTGATGATGTGTGATATTGTCCTTTTTTATTCTCTCTACGGCCTTTTAATTACAGCAGGCCATGGGAAGAGTGTTATGATAGTGAAGGCTTTAGTAATTAAGATACATCTTAACACTTGATGAAAAACTGCTCCCAGGCTTACGAGAGCCTTGGGAGGGTTGGCAGAAGGCATGGGGAATACATATACAATCTATAAGGAGCTGAATCCCAGACTTACTGAATCTTGGATTGTCTGAGAATTTTTTTCTGCTATTATTATGGAAATAAGTAGCACTGGGTCCAAGGTCATGGAAGGATGCATACCCCCATGCAGAGGAATCTACAGTAGGTATTTTGTACAATGCCTTGTCTGGGTCAGAAGTGACCGAGCAGCCAGACGTTGTTGGGTCTTTATCTCATGTCTCTCTGTGGGTTCCACTTACAATGTACTTTATCATCGTGGTGCCCACGGACGGCGGGATCACGCCACAGATCATTTGTTTAAACCTTATCGGACAGATAATTGCTCGTAATGAAAGGAAAAGCATCAATGCATCTTTTTTTTTTTTTTTTTGGGATATTCCTAAACTTTTTTTTTTGTGTTTTAGAACGTTCAAATTCTTGCACGTTAATAATATCTAATAATAAATATATTAATCCCGTGTACATTCTACTATTCGAACCAATGAACTGTAAATTTGATTCTGTGCTACACATGCACACTATTCTCCAACTGTGTCTAACAAGACATTACTCTAGCACTCCCTCAAATTAAACAAACAAACAAAAAAAATACTCTATGTACAGTCCTCAAAGGGCTCATTCAGAATATAATTTAAGGAATTGCTAGTTTTAGAGTAATTGCAAGCATTATATGTTTGATAGGGAAATTTTATTTATATTGACAATCTTTATTTATTTAGTTGTACGAATAGGACAAAAAATACAGAAAGTTCAAAAGGAACAGAAAGGCAATCAATGCATGATCCCTAGAGGAGAATCCATTTCACAAGTATATTGTTCATATATAACACTGAAAAGGCATTTACATTGTAAAAACAGTTATTGCAATGGGACCAGTCTGATTATTAGTCTATTGGGTAGCCATGAGTAGATGCAGTGATAATCTTCAATCCGAAAAAGTGTACCTGTATGCCAGGTAGAATGATGGATGAGGAGATAGCTTGGAAGTTGAGGGATAATTAAGAGAGCAATAGTTTAGATAAGGGAGGAAAGACAGAATAAATATTTTCTTTAAAATATATATTGTACCTATATAATGAGGGGATGATGTAGAGGTGGGGGAGTGAAGATGAGTGAAGGAAAGATAAGGGGTGAAAAAATAGGAGTTAGAAGAAGTGTACGTCACTGGGGTCACAAGTAGGCTCCAGTCCAACTGCCCCACTCTCTGTCAAGGTCCAGCTGGCTAGCTGATTTCTGGTACAGAGACCAGCCATGTTCTCCATACCTTCAACATGGCGGTGCGCTCATCAATCTAGGAGATCTCCCCAACTCTGCCTAGTCAACTCTGGAATGTTGGTGGATCTTTAAGTAGCCACAGGGCAAGGATCAAAGAGTGTGCAGATGTAAACAAATGTTTGGATAATGTTTTATTGTTTTTGGATATAGGAAGCCTGAAGCCATTTAAGAGCATATCCAAAAGATGGCATTCCACACTCTCGTCTGCTACAGCAGTCATTATATCATATCACTCCTTCTAGTAGGGGGATTTGATCAGAAATTCCCACCCGCTGCCTAGCACCTCCAACACCTGTCAGACACTTCAGGAAATAACCTATGCAATTTTTGCGGGTTCTCATACTAATTTGTCATGATTTCATGGTTAATCTTCTGGTATTTTGCACGTACAGAACTCAGATGAGTCAACATCTTTGACCATTCCTGGTCAGTAAATGTCATTTGTAAGGCTTCCTCCCAATAAGACTTGAATTTAAATGGTGCAGAAGCAATTGAAAAATGGTAGAGATGCCTCTGTATAGCATTTTGGCACAAGAGCATATCTTTTCCAGTGTTGGTGACGGTAATGTAGGGTTTACTGGTGTAAGATGGAATTAAAGAAGTGTTTGGGTTGAAGATATTTGATGGTCTTGAGGATTGTTGGTGGCCTGCCTTGTAGAAACACCAATAGAAGGAATCAGAGAGCCATTTGCACATAATGTTGTGACACGAAGGTCTGGACCTTTACCAAGGTACTCAATGGTTTTGCGGTCTAAACCAGCAGGGAATGCTGGGTTACCTATCACTGGATAGAGGGGACCATATAGGGTAGTGAGCAAGAGTTTAAATCGAAGTTGGTGACACACTTGCAATGTCGCATGTATAAAAGGTTCCGTATTTATCAATTCCCTAGCAGCCCCATCATCCAGATATTTTGCTGAAGGAATCAAACCCTTTACTATACAAACTGCATTAACAAACCCAGGATCCCACATCCCACCCAAAAGCACTCAGAATGTAACCCAAACAGAGATCTCAGATGACCATGGTCTCCATGCGCTATGTGATGAGAAGAGGCTGATGGAGGAGAGACCCCTCCATTTAAGGACCTTTAAAATCAGCAGAGGGCTTTAATGGTTTTATTGCCCACCTTTGCAGGTCAGACACATGAGCATCACATCTAAGGGCTTAGACATGATAAACCTGGAAAGGTGTGTAGGCACCAAGCGTGTTGCACAGTCTACAATCCAGTCTTCCTCCTGCCAAGCTCCCAAATATGCAGAGATCTTCCACCCATCACATCATCCACCTGATAAGCTGCCAGGCTCTACTTCTCTTTACTCTTGGTGTTGTTTGCCGAGAGCTCGAGGTTCGTGAATAAAGCTCCAGCCTCCTCCTTGGTCTCACTCTTTGGTCTGGGGTCTTGGTAATGGCCCATGATGCTCCCAGTCTGCCATGCAAGTTGAAGGGGTGTCCAAAATGGTAGGCAATATGCTGTTTTCGTAGTGATAGGATGGAGAGTTGTATAACATCCAGGATCAGGGTTAATAGGTGTTGATGTAGACTGATGGTAGAATTTCAGAATGTCCAGGATTGGTGTTCACTGGCCTTAGACATAAAACGTTCTTTCAACAGATATGAATAGATGCAACAAATCACATCCCCCGGCACACCATCAAATAAGGGAGGGCGGAGATCTTCTCCGGTTCCTCATTGCCCAAGATCAGGTTGAACAGGGCTTGCAAGGTGGCATCCAGGGGGTGGACACCTCAGGTAGGCCTCGGATCTATATACTGCTCATGCGGCCACAATTATTGAGGTCCTTCACCTGCTTCCGCAGCTCTAGTGGCATGTTCTCTTGTCTTATAGTGACAGTCTCCACTGCCTAGTGAGGCTGGTCAGAACACAGGGCTCTCTTCAAGAGCTGCAATGTTTCTTAGGTGATCTGCCAGCTCCTGATGGATATCCCCTTTGATAGAAGTGTCCACATTCGTGAAAAAGGATGTGTATATGGCATGGAGATAAGCCTTTAATTGCCTGAGGAGTGTCAAGGTATCACCTTCTCCTAGGTTTGAGGTCCCTGGGCTACTTAGTGTTGGTGTCAATGTCGCCATGTGGCTTGAGGCTCCAGGGCATACCAGGTCTGCCAGGGATAGTTGGCTTATGGGATAGTTATTATCGAGTTGGATAAGCTGGAGCTGAGCAATTAAGCTGCCATCTTCCCAGGGAGCCAGGCCATGCCTGGAGAAATTTTACTTAGCATTTTACATATGAAGCATGAATTACGATTGGTCTTTTTTGATGTCCATGGCTATAATTTGTTTTTTCTAAAGTGGCTTTTTTGTTCCCTATTATACCACAGCAATCACTGATCACAGAAAAATATTGTAATATTGTAATAATGTAAATTTATATCCTCTGTTGGCACAGGTGGAAACAAATCTCCAGAAAAAGAAGAACCAGCGCTTTCTATGCAGTAAACTCACTCATGGAATTTCTGCCCATTAAAGAGCGCTACAGTGGTACCAAACTCCATAGTTAAATATAATACTCAACTTTTTAAAAATGCTTCTTTTCTTTCTTCAATCTATCCATTATTCAACCTTGAACTGTCTAAACAATATTGTTTTGCCCCAGAAGGTACATGAAAACTAGTAGAAGCTAAATTTACCTTCAATATTTGCTGGTCATATAGAAACCAAACTCTTTTTGGGCAAACACCCATCCTTGTGTAGCTATCTTCATAAGTTGTCCTTCTTTGAGGATCTAGAAAGGGAGCAGATGAACAGATTGATGCGTTCTGTGTTCCACTGCCACACAACATTCTAGACTAGCCTATTTTTAATTCTAGTTTTTACGGGAAAGGCTAGACCAGTGAATTTAACTTTGCATTGAAAATCCATATTCCACAGGTTTCACCAGGGCACTGCCAGTTCTGCAACTGGCAAAATTAGGCCCAAATAGAGGAGTTGGAAAAAGTGGTGAATGGGAATCTACCCCGTGCATTTCCAACCTATCACTTTCATCAAAAGTTGGACAGATAATGCAGACGTCCACCACCATATTAAAGCATCCTGTAGCAGATTGGCGGAGCTTTAGATACTGGGTGACAACTAGTTCTTGTCATATCACTTGAAATTGGTTTGATGCAGACTTGGGAGGCAGCATGAATGAGCTGAGCTGTGGTGGTTATGGTCCTAGATAGTTGTCTAACTTGTAAAAAGACGTGAGTCCATAAAGTTCAACCCTGAAAGCCAATTATTTTATGTTGATCCAAAAAAACAATTGTAGCTATATCCAGTTATGCCAGTAAAAGGGAAAAAATAGAAACACAGAATGTGACTGCAGATAAGAACCATTCGGCCCATCTAGTCTGCCCAATTTTCTAAATACTTTCATTAGTCCCTAGCCTTATCTTATAGTTAGGATAGCCTTATGTCTATCCCATGCACACTTTACTGTGTTAACCTCTACCACTTCAGATGGAAGGCTATTCCATGCATCCACTACCCTCTCAGTAAAGTAATACTTCGTTCTTGACTCCATAATGTCAATCAGATTTCTCCTTGGATCAACAACCTGTTAATATACATGTTAATTATATCCTTGAATATTCTGTTTATGCAAAAAAGCAGCCAAGCATTTTTTTCACATTGATCACAATAAAAAGAAAAAGAAATCATCATGTTCGAGTGACCATATATTTGTCAAACTGCTTGTCTCCTTTAAATCATTAACATCCCATATTTTGACACTGCAGGGCAACTGACCTACAAAACCAGTGTTATATATAGCCTATTGTTTTGGACAATGCCTCCTTTAATGGAATGCCATTCCATGTATCTACTACCCAACACTACTTACTTTATCAGAAAGCCTGAGTTGACAATTTAATTCCTGCTCAGTAAGAGCTGAGAGGAGTGCTTGCATTATATTACCACAACGCTACCCACAATGTCCAAATCATGGATTATTGGATTATTGAGACACTTCCAATTCCTCTTTGACACTCCAAGGGTTTATATATTAATGTACTTTATTATTATTAATTTTTTACGAGAACAGTAGAATTGGTGCAAATAAATCAGTAGTAATGAGTTTCTGCGTCTTCTTGGTAATTAATTAGAGATGGCTTTGTGAATGTCGTCTAATTAGAGACATTTTCACATGTTAACTACCGTCACCCACGGAGGGTCTGCAACGTTTAGACATGCAGAGATTTGCTAACGGTCACAAATTGGCCTAACCTCGTAACGTGAAGGAAACAACGGCTCATTATGGCTAAATAGCACATGGCTCACGGTGAGGGGCAAAGTCTCCCTAATTTTTCATCAATTATTACAAAATATTTTTTTATGGCCAAAAAAAAAAAAAAAAAGCCAAGCATCCTAGAAATTCCATCAGCATCTCGAAGAAGTGTTCTGTATTCTTATTTTCCCCCTTCATCTGAAATCACAGATTGCACCTAGAAATGGAGTTTCGCAGACTGGTTTGGTCGTCATGGTTACCACTGCCAGTGCAAGCCAATGGGAGTCGTACAGGGTCGGATGGCGAGAGGGAGAAAGACAATCTGCAACTGTAGCCAACCGTGGATTACAAAATAAGAAGAAAAAAAAGGGGGTCTATGATGGCATGCTGCCAGCACCTCCGCAAAGGGGACGGTCTGTCTGGCTATAAACATGTGTGCTCCCGCAATGGACAAAGGACAAGAAAAACAAGACACACACACAAGCATCCACACCACCACACACCAACTACACAGCTCGGTAAATCAAAGCAGCAATACATAACCTCTTTATCCTTTTATTGTTGGGGCATTCTACCCCTTCCCTCTCCTCTCCATTTTTGTTTGCGATCTTTATATCCGTCCCCTTCATTTCATGACAAATGGAAGGGGAAAAGTTGACGTACAAAGGATCCCTTATTTATTTATTTTCTGCAGTTTCATTTAATTGTGCTTTCACGTCCTTGCCATTTCTCCCCCTTTTTATTAATTTTTTTTTCTTTCTCTTATTTATTTTTCTTCTCCTTCTCCCGGCGTGCCCCAGCCTCCGCAAGAACAGTAGTGACTGGTTTTACGAATTTACATCACAAAAAGCCAGCCCCTGTGAACTTGAGTGACCTTTCGACCTCCACAATTTGACTAGTGAAAGGCTTCAGTCCAGGACACACTGTTATGCCAGTCTGATTAGTGCGTGAATAAATTCTTAATCCCTGAATTCGATGTCACAGGCTTGTATTCATTCAGAATCTTCCTAATTCCCAGCATTGCAACAAACCCTTTTTCTATCTTTTTTTCACACCTGCATATTTTTTTTCTTCTTCTTCAACTAAGGAGGAAATGAACGAGAGAAAAAAAACCCACAAGAATTCCATATATCTCTAGAATACAAACCTGCTGTCTACTCCAAGGACACAAACTCCAATTCATTCCAACCTGCTCTTTTTTTGATTCACTTTTCTGTCCTTTGTACGATGCTCAGACCTCCCAAAAAATAATCCGTCCACTTCATTATTCATCGTTAATTTTCCTTTCAGTTTTAAAATCACCTCTCGTGAAGAGTTCAGGTTTTTTTCTTCTTCTTTGTAACAAGATTGTTGTTAAGTAAATTTTGCAAAAGACTTATCTGGCTGTCTGGCCATCCTGAACTCAGAAAAAGGGTGGGTTCCCACAGCTGAAATAGCCATTAATTATCATGTTTTTCTTTTCTTTTTCTCCACTATAGATAAGTAGATTCTTGTCTCAAGGAGCTTGCACTCTGATGGGAAAAAACCCATTGATTTTACTCAAAACACAATCGACAAATTCTATTATGGAACCCGTGGCATTCATAAAAGTCATCTAGGGATATTGACCATAAATTAACTATGAAAAGGTGGTAAAGTTATAGAGTGGTCTCCCAGCGGAGGTGTTTGCAATTTAGAAATCATTCAGATAGGCACATGCTCTACCTATTTAATAGGTCAGTTTATGGGCACCTGTTGGCCTACAAATAATTTGGTGGCAGTCATTGGTCATGAGCCATAGACCACCCAATTCCATGTCGTCCTTCTTCATATTGTTCTCATTGACTCTCTTCTTTCCTTGTTCTTGTCTTAACTCTCCCATTACAAAAATATTGATCGTATTCAGTTCTTTATATTGCATGATGGTACCAAAAAATAACGCTTGTTCAGAAGCGGTTTCATTTCACTAGTCATTTGTCTTATATGTGCCCAAGTTGTCTCTGTACAGTTTAGTCTTTTAATTCTATTGCAAACCTTATCTTGCTGCCCGATGCTTTTCTCAACACCTTTAGTCAATCCTTACACTGATTTACTGTACTCTAGGAGTCAATTTAAAATTTTAGTTCCTCAGTCTCTGTTCATTTAAGAAATCTCCAACATTGCACAACTTTAATTAAGTATGCAACTACCCATATAAATTATTACCCGCTTTTAATCCACCCCTATCTCCAGGGCCAGCGCCCCTGTTAGGTGAACTAGACATTCGCCTAGGGCGCGGGCCTGCTGTGGGCACCCACCAGGATATTTCCTGGTGGGCTCCGCCTGTCTTGAGTCGCTGCGCTGGGCGAGCAGCTCTAGAGCAGCCCCCATCAGCGCCGGGTGAGTATCTGCCTGTTAGTGTGTCTGTCAGTGAGTGAGTGTATGTATGTCAGTGAGTGTCTGTCTGTGTGTGTCAGTGAGTGAGTGTATGTCTTTCAGTGAGTGTGTGAGTGAGTGTATGTATGGAGTGAGTATATGTATGTCAATGAGTGTCTGTGTGTTTGTGTGTCTGTCAATGAGTGAGTGTATGTATGTCAGCAAGTGTCTGTGAGTGAGTGTGTGTGTCTGTCAGTGAGTAAGTGTATATCTGTCAGTGAGTTTCTGTGTGTGTGTCAGTGAGTGAGTGTCTGTCAGTAAGTGTGTGTGTCTGTCAGTGAGAGAGTGATATGAGGGGGCAGAAAAATGGATCTTTGCCTAGGGCGGCAGAAATCCTTGCACTGACCTGCACTAACCTATTTGCAACCTATGCTCTAGAACATCATATGTTTTCTAGCATAGAGATACCATACATTAGATTGCTTAGAAATCTACCTCTAGATATTTTGCTGTTTGTCTTGTGTGCTTGTGCAAGTGTACTTCACATTATTTATACTGTAAAAACAGACATCCTACTGTTGAGAAAGATACAATCTCATTTCAGGATGACCAAAATATGGTCTAAACTTCATTTAAGCATTAAAAAAACCCAACAGGTT